TTTTCTCTGTTTGTTGTGGGGTCATTTATGATATTTTGAGATTTTGGTGCCTTTTATCCCTTTTATTATATTTTGACATTTTGACACCTTTTATCCCTTTTAACATTTTTGCATTCAACTCATTTGGCCAACTATCTGACTTTGTTGGATAATGTCTGGGTGCAATGTGTCATTATAATGTGTAATGTATAATGTATAATGCGTAATGTTTCATTATAGCACAAGACAGCCTAAGCCTGAAATGAATTCCGCAATAGTTCTGACAATGACAAACCCAGGGTTTGAAAAACAACAAGAGCACATCACAGCTCCAAATAATTGGTGGAGATATAACATGATAGCACAGAACAGTAATTGTGACTTTTACAGATAATCTGCAGTTGTATCTCCTTTTAATCCTGCAATTCCCAAAAAGGTTTGCAAAGCATTGGTGAATGCAGTTTTATAGTGGAAATTTATTTAACAGACAAACAATTCTCATAGCTTCCAGTCTACTCTGTGCATAGATAAGAGTTGAAACAGAACCAAACTTCCATATTAATGACCCAGTAATGATCATTTTATTGGATATCCTATCGTGCCAGAAGATCAAATGATACCAGCTCTGTGTTGGACGCTGAAGAAGGAATATATGCCAGAGTGAAGCTTTGTTATACAGAGTCAACAAAGTCCGTGAACCTTGGAGATTTTCATTGAATCTTGAAGCATCCAGGCACATCTCAGGCTCCACAAAGACCTCTTTGTCTCAGTGGAAGTGCAGAATGAGAGCCAAATTGTTTCTTTTCATTGGTTCTTTTGGCTTCTATCAGTTTTAGAAGAAAGTGAGTTTAGAAAGCTTGGGCACAGTGCCAACTTCCAGAGGCACCTACAAACTAAAGAAGTCTTTCTGGGCTTTCAATGTCCACTGAGTAAACCATGCAGTCTGGACGTGGAGGCTATTCAGCATCTGGAAATTGGGGAGTGGCTAAATTTGCTTCGGTCCAAACTGCATTTCGGCCTAAAGTTTCCTATTTTTGAGCAGCCACATGCCAGAATTTTGGGGGAATTGACTAGCACAAGCCCAAACATACTCATTTTTATTTGTGATTCAGGGTGCTGTTCCTGGCAAAAGAAAAAATGGAGGTGGAATGGAGAAAAGGCTATTTTTGGTGTGGTTTTTGTTTTTGGATAGGTCCTACCCAATCAAAAAAGTAGCAAATCAAAGATGATTTATGGTTAGGGGAAAGCCACTAAATACTGATTTTATTTGCAGATCAAGTGAAATAACCAATTAGGGGGAAAAGGAGGAGCAATTAAACAACAGTACTTCCAAGCAGGATTCTTTTAGACACTTTGACTTCAGATATTGAGGGAGACGAACTAGCTGTGATACAGTATGTAGGAGTGGAGATAGCGTGCATAATTGATTCTAGTGTGAGATAAGCTTTAACTTTTAATGCTGTACCTAGCAGCCAGTACTGCAAAGAGCAATAGAGAACACTTTGAGTGGGAGATAGGAGATTGTCAATTGTCTTTAGATAGGCAATTCATCGTTCATCCTACTGTGTGGCTATTTTTTAACTCAATATACAGGTACTACGGGTTGTTTTTTATTTTTGTTGCTAATTGGAGGAAAGACAATCCTTCTTTTGGGGAATGTGGTTCTAGGAAAAAAATATTTTGCATAGCCAGGGTCAATAATGTCACAGTAGTAAATCCTGCAAGCACTAACCCATTTTGCAACCAAAACACCATTTTTGCTGAATAAAGTTGTCTTACGTTACACATTACACAAATTTATTCATATACCTCACTTAATGTAATAATAAGAAACCCACCATCATCAATGTCACATACTATTTCCAGGCTAAATCTGAGGGAAGGTTTTTTTGTCCGGGAGCTAGTGTGCTCTCTCCGTCTACATCCTGTCCAACATCTCCAAGTCCATCTTGTGCAGCAGGCACCTGCTACCACTGATATTAGAACCTTCAACATCACCATCTGCATTACTCAACCAAGTGCTAGTGTTGCATCAGCTTCCACTGCTACTGATGTACATCTACCTGCATCTTCAACAGAAGCAAGGCAAAGGGTAAGGGCTAATAAATTACGCCAATGAAACATAGTTTGTGATCGCTTTGAGTGCCTCCAAGAAGGGCAATATGCGAAGTGGAAATTGTGCAGAATGAATGTGAGAAGAGGGACATTTCACTGAGGGAAGAAGACAGGAAGAGCCAGTCCACTGGTGCTATAATTTATTCTGCAGAGTTGTCACAAACTACCACCAGCCCTACCTTCTTTGGTGCTACCACCACCTTTAGGCAGAGTAGGATAGACGCAGGTGGGCAAGAATAGTTGCACCCATCATTATCCAGTGAATTAAAAAAAGAAAAAAGAAAATTGACTGATATTTGCTGTGCCTACTACCTCCACAGACACAGTTGGGAGAAACTGATAGGGTACTTGGTTTTGTTTTTGTTTTTTGAGGGTAGCAGGCCTAGCTACAACACATGACTCAGCCTGGCAGGGTCAGGTTGAAACCACAACAATGAAAAGCATTTGACAAAATGGGGAGCAGCAGAAGTAATTTAATTTGAAAACAGGGGATTTAAAAAATAAAATAAAATGAGAGGGCAATAGATTAATTTTTGAGTTTTGAAAAATCCCCTTTTCCTCCAATTAAATGCTTATGTAAGGGCACTGTGTTTTTATTTTTGGCTAGGCAATTGTAGCTGTTTTTGCATGTAAGCACAGTCATAATCCCATTTTTTCTGGTTTTCTGGCCTTTTCTTAATTTTGCTTGATAACGAACATCTGAATAAACTAAATTCTATAGACCCCCAAAAACATTCATTTTTTTTCCCAAAGTGTTTTGGAAGAACTAACATTTTTGTTTGAAGGCATGATGGAGTAGCTATTTTCTTGTTGAACTATTATCACCATGTGGGGAAAGGACTTCCCCCATGTCTATCCGCTTCTAGACCTGCTCCCTTTCAAAAAGTCTTTCTCTGGCCTCTCTCTCCTCCTGTTCTTGTAGCATTTTATTTACTTCACCCATTAGTTGCTCCACTATCCATGTGCTGGTACAAGAACCACAAACTGCCAAGCGAGGAGTTCTCTGGTAAACTCACTATCTACAGAAGTTATGGAGCTAATGTGAAAGCAACTTGATAAATAAATAGGGGTTGATCCAGGAGTCCCTGTGTGTGGAGCAGTGGCATAGATATGAGAGGGAGATGTTCTGTTAAGGGAGCGGGGTAAGCAGGAAGGAAGAGGGTTTGTGAAGGTTGGGAGGCTAAGCAGGAAGGGAGAGGGCCTTTGAAAGGAGGTGGGGGGTAAGCAGGGAGGAAGAGGGTTTGTGAAGGGAGGGACTGAGCAGGGAGGAAGAGGGTTTGTGAAGGGAGGGACTGAGCAGGGAGGAAGAGGGTCTGTGAAGGGAGGGGGCTGTCAGGAGGGAGGGGAGGCTGAGCAGGGAGGGAGAGGGGCTCTAAGAAGGGAGGAAAGAAGGGGGTCTGTGAAGGGAAGGGGCTGTCAGAAGGGAGGGAGGGTGCTGAGCAGGGAGGGAGAGTGTCTGTGAAGTGAGGGGGCTGTCAGGAGGGAGGGGTGGCTGTGCAGGAGAGAGCATACCTGGTGCATCTGCAAGGCAGTTCTCCATCTTCTCTCTCCCAGCACTCACAGGACAGGAGGCACAGGAAGTGACCCACCTTTTCCCCTAATACTGAGCACCGCACGGAGGTGACCTGGCAAGCAGAGCAGACTCGCTGCCAGGTCTCACTCAGAAGGAGGAATTATTTTTCTGTCTGGAACTTGCCGCCCCCAAATAAGTGCCGCCCATGGAGGAACACCTCCGTTTGCTACGCCTCAGGTGTGTTGGGCTAGTGGATCAGCTCTAAATGGTGCCCAACCCCACTCTCCCTATGGCAGGGAAATATACCTCAATAAATCAATATAAACTATGAAGGACTAAGACAGTCCTAAAAGGGGAGAGTGACAAAAAATAGAAAAGGAAGCCCTACCTTTAATACAGATAATGTTAGAATTGAGAGAGAGACAAAAATATATACTGCCGGTGGGCTAAGTATAAAAAAGGTTCCAGACAATACCACTCAATAGATATTTAGAGCACCCAAACCTAAACTAAGCACTGTCCCAGCAGATATGCATAAATGAGAAATATCCAGAAGTAGAGGGGCCAAGCCCCAAAAACACATTCACAGTAACTCCAAAGAGTCTGACCCTGTATTACCTCGGCACCGTGGACTAGCCACTAATGCCTACCTGGACCACTCTCCATTCCTAGCATAGAAATAAAACTTAAACTAAACTAGTGCATATTAATGCTCTCCCTGCCTTGTTCCATGAGAGTCAATAGAGGGTGGATTTGCTATATTACTGGCCACTCTTCCTGTGGGTTTGTGAACATCTTGTAGTGTGCTTTGCTTAAAGCGGCACTGTCACCCCCCTGAAAAATTTGTATTTTATAAAGATATAAGATAGAATCTTTATGAAATGCTCATATTGACTCTGTTGGAATATCACTGAAATTCCAACCCAGTCAAGAGATATAATGAGAGACTTTGTCTCTGTATATTTGGTATGCCTGACAATTTTAGACACAGTGTGGAGTGTCTAGAAGTGTCAATGTCACTGTCTAGAAGTGTCAATTTCACAGCTGTCACCAGTGGCCTCCGCCCATGCCGGAAGGTGGGAACCCTAATAAATGAAAAATGGGCGTTAGGGAAGCTTCCCCTGGCTCCAGTGAGATTTGGCTGTCAGAGTGCTCTGATTGGTTCGTTTACAAGCCACACAATTGGTGTGCTCTTGGTCATATTGCACAGTGTGGGAAATGTTTGTGATAGCGCTCATTCTGTGACAAGCCCTCCATGGATTTTTTTGTTGTTGGGTGGTTTCATTTTTGTGGTGTTTTTTTTACTGTGATTTTTACTGTGATTTTACTGTGATTTTTACTGTGATTTTTTTTTTTTATTAGTGGCATCGGGAATTATGGTCTTTTATTTGTCTTTTTTTCCTGTAAATTAATTTTTATTAAGAAAATTTTCAATTTTCAAAACAAGCAGTAGGCGGGACACACAGGTCCCCAACACATTAAATTCACGGTATTTACCAGCTGAGATGAGCAGATTTTTTAATTAGAAAAATTAGCACAGGAGACACACAGGTCTTGATAATGACAGCAGCATAACATGAATACATAGCTCAAAAAACTGGTGTTGCATTATGAGTCGCTCAGCTTCGTCTTCAGAATGTCCTCTTGCCCAATATGATTTGTCAGTTCCAGCATAAGGCCCCTCGAGCCCACTACATATAGAGGTGACATTTTATGGCTGTAGCATAAGGGTTATCTTCAGGACCCTAGTTAGCTGCCAAATCACCTTGTCTCTTCTCAGTAATCCACAAGGGAGGAAGGGAGGGGGAAGAAGAAAAAAAGAAGGAATAGAGAGAGTGGAAAGAAGATTATTGCGTATTTTTTGCAGCTAAAGAAAAAAAGAGTTATAAGAAAGAATACTTCAGATGGGAAGCATATACATATATTTTCATTTTATTTATTTTTACACATTTTTTATTTTCTGTCTGCCTTCACACTATTATTAGGATGAGTTGGTAGGGAATTTATTTTAGGAGGTGGCTTGGTGAACACCTGCCATCGGGAGGGGACAGACTTATTATTTAGGGAAGGTGGACAATGGTATGTCTACCCCACCTACTTCATAATTAATTAGGGTCCATTTTTTAACTAGGCATAGGTGGAGGCCAGGGGAGGGGACACTAGGTTTCCCCATTTATTATACGTATTAGGGCCTAGACCTGCCTTCATGGATGGGTGCCAGCAGGGGGACACATGCAAAGTAAACCCTATCCAATGCCCACTGTGCACCCCTGTTATTTCACAGGCCTCATGGGACTTGTTCTTTTCTAGAGCCTGGGCAGAAATGGCTGCCCAGTCACTATTTTTAAATGTTTAGTAGAAAAGCCACCACCTTTTTTTTTTTGCTATTTCCATGTAGTGACTGGCTAGCAAGCGCTGACCAGCCACCACATAATTAATCCTTGCACGGCACAGGGATTTAACTTTTTGCTCGCTGGCTGCCAGTTCTTCCAGATGGCAAATTGTTCAGCTTTTTAAAATCTGTGCTCGAAGTTGAATTTGCCAAGCTTGAATTTGCAGCATTTATCCTGGATTTCAGCCATCAAGGCAGAGATTGGCCCAGCTGAAATCCGGGCCAAATTCAGGCCAATTTGGGTCCTGAACTACAAAATCCAGACATTGATGAATTCCATCAACAACTTACGTATTTTATAGTCCAAATTACCCCGTACAGCAGTATTTATTTTCCCCATTCGTTTCAGGGGGCATTCAGACTTCAGTGAATATCCCTTCTTGTGTCATGATCCTATCCTGACAAGCAAAGTTATCTTTCATTTTTTCTATTTTATTTCTACAAATTCCAGTTTTCACCACTAGTTGCCTCCCTACACACTAGTCTAACCACAGTTTCTTTAACCTGCCTAGCATGATTACTAAATCAGCTATAAGAGGCCACACCCTGCTGAACAAATGGCCTTTACATTGAATGACTGAACTTGATGTTCAACCTGACTGATCTTCTGATCCTGTCTCCTACAGAGAAAACCTGTTATTTTCTGAATAGCATAGCACCCATCCTGATTTATCCTATTAACCTGCTTCATTTCCAATCTGATTTTTACCAATAAGTTTGGGGACAAACCTGATTTACAATACCTACCTGCTTAATTCCACAACGGACATTAATACCGTCTTGCTTTATTCCAAACCTACTTTACACCTACCTCATCTACGCAACCAACCTGGAAAACACAAACATTCCTGTTATTTGCAACTATGATCTTTGGAACAGTACCTAAATTATACAAATTACACAATTCCCACCTATCCATTAAAACTAATTCAAATAGCACACTGACTGCAGTCCACTCTTTCAAATATTTGGGTATGTTGTTAGAACCCAATCTATCTTTTGGCCTCCACATAGAAAAGCTTGCATCTAAACTTTATCCAAAACTAGGTGCCCTGTACAGAAACAAATCCTGCCTAAGCCCTACAGTAAAGGAAAAGATTGTTCAGCAAATGCTTATGCCAATCATTGATTATGGGGATGTAGTATATGCATCTGCACCGCAATCTCACATTAATGAACTCAATACATTGTATAACTCATTCTGCCGATTTGTGCTACAATGTAATTACAGGACCCACTATTGTGAAATGCTAAAAGAACTAAATTGGTTCTCGCTGGAATCCAGACGCACCCTTCATCTTTCCAGCCTTGTGTTTAAGAGCTTTTCTGGGAAACTCCCACCCTACCTAAGCAAAATGCTCTCCTCGGCTGTTCCCACCTCCTATAACTTCCGATCCAGTACCAGCACTTTATTTAGTCTACCTCAATACAAAAAGAAAGCTGCCCGATCCTCCTTCTCCTACAAAGCGCCACAATTGTGGAACGACCTCCCACACACTTTAAAATCTTCCCTAAGCCTAAAGTCCTTTAAGAGATCTCTCTCTACATACCTCAAAACAGAATGCACGTGTTATGGTTTATTATATATTTCCTATCTGTTCTATGTTAAATTTTGTGTATTAATATTGTTTTTGTGTTTTACTGTACCCTAATGTAACAATGCAATGTTTTGTGGACCCAGGACATACTTCAGAACGAGAGAAATCTCAATGTATCTTTCCTGGTAAAATATTTTATAAATAATTTGCAACTATCCTGAATGACCCTGTTACAACTATCTGAAATCTGCAACACTTTATCCAAAACTAAAGAGGTTGATACCCCTAAAAGTCTGAATAACCTGTATTTCTTATATTTGTTATATTTGTTTTCCTGTAACCTATATTTTCATTGTATAGGTTTTTGTTCACTTTAATTACCTATAATCTCACTTATAGGTTTTCCTACTACCAAATAGCCCGTCTGGGGCATATTGTCTAAACTCTAGTAACGTTCCTTATACTTGCCTATTATCTCGCTTATAGGTTCTCCTTCTACCTATTGCCTAACCTGTCTCGGGCATATTGCCTAACTTTCTATTCTGTAGCCCTCAATATACTTGCCTATAATCTCACTTGTTGGTCTTGCTTTCACCCATTGTTCTATATTTTTCTTTATAGGAGTTTTTTTCCCCAAGTTACGTGTTTTGGGCATATTCCCTAAACCTCTATTTTATATTATTTCCAGTTCCCTTTAAGTCCTGCTGTACGTATTGTTCCTAGAAAAGGTACCATGTCAAAGATTACCAAAAAAGAACTAAAGTTAACCCCGGTATAAGTCTCTTGTGTGACCTGATCAAAAACTTGACAGCATGGTGCTATTTTTTTAAAACAGTCCTGGAATATTATTTTGGAAAACAAAATATTTAAGGAAATAAATATAATGCCCAGGAACAGTTTGTTGACCCAAGGAGAAATCTGATTTCTATGATAAAGTCCAGAATTTTATTTTATTTTTTTCACTTTTGTGGCACAATTGGCAGTTGCTTCAAACTAAGAGGTTTTTTTTTAATTTTTTTAATTTTTTTATTTATATTATCAAAAGCACAAAAAGATTTGTTTAACTTGATCGACTTGAGTCATTTTTCAACCAACGTTTAGTCAGACATGGGAAATATTATATTACTTACTAATTATAAAATGTCAGCATATTCAACAGCAATATGCAAGTGGGGAATTCAAGAAAATACAAGATAGAGACACCAGTTCAAAAAGACAAATGGCAAAGTGCATACTAAGATGGCTTTTGAGCTTACAATCTAAAGGGGGAAAAAAACCCTCAAATTCTATATTTTGTGGGCTTCACTTGTGACCAAATTAAATCCTCTGATATCTTACGTAAACTGTATTTATAATTACTTATTTACGGTAAGTATTTGCTGAAAGCAGACTACATATAGAGTGTTGTAGGTGGTGAATGAAATCTAATATCCCATCTTGAGTTTCTTGTAGATGAGAGCCAGTCCTGTATTCTGATTCCTAATATTAGCTAGCGGGGGCAGGGAAGAATGACAGGAGTTTATTTACCTCTGTATTAGAACCTAGGATGGAAACTGTGCAGTATAGGTTGCTAGGAGAACATTTTACCATGATGTCACTGGATCCTACAAAAACACACTACGTATACAGCTAAAGTCTCAATAGAAAGCAATGGACATTGGTGAGAAATTTTTTTGTAACATATGTTTGCAACTTTAGTGCAATTAAACGTGCTTCTGATCATGCAGTAAATAAAAAAAAAAAATAACCAAAAGCTCCCTAAAACAGGGTTATTGTGTGGAAAAACATAATTTATAATATGGTTAAAAGAACATTATAGTGTTAGCAATACAAACTTGTATTCCTAAGGCTATAGTGATCTTGTCTCCAGTTAAATACACCCCTGCATCTCTAATTTGCCGTAAAAAGAATAAAATAAAGGTTTTTACTCAACTTTTTCCAGCAACGTGGCTCCTTCAGTGCTGCTTACCACTCCACCTTCCTTGATGTCATTAGTGATGAGTGGCCTCCTGTGTGATGAACCAATCCAGTGTTGGGCTTCCTATCCTATGGGCTTCAGCATCACATGAAGGAATTTTACTCAGTCAGCACAACTGATGCACCTCTAATGGCTGTTAGCATGACAGCCACTCGAGGTGGATTTAACCCTGCAATGAGTTTCTATAAAAAAATGCAATGTTAATTTATATATATATATATATATATATATATATATATATATATATATATATCATCTTTATTAAAGTCTGAAGCATATAGGGTACAAAACAGAACTTGACATTAAAATACATATATATATGTTTTAGCACAATGCTCAGAAATATTTTCTGAATTAATCAATCAACATTCTATCCACATTCATACTACATACATCATTCATACGGATGTGGGGTAGGTGGTTCAGGATTAGCTCTAAAAGCCGTTGAGCCTGAGATTCACAGTTTAAAAATCCTAATTAAACTATCCAGAGCATATTAGTATAGGAAGATGTGAATCATTTTTCCCAGATTTTTTTTATATAGGACCAATTGATTATTCATCAAAAAATAATCTTTCTCCATAGAGCATTGGTAGTTTATTTGGGATGTTATTTCATGCCAATTTTGATGCCCTTGCTTTTTCCAATTTCTGGTTATGCATATTTTTTACTGCCAACATAATATGGATCATTAAGTTAAGTGAAGGTTTATCCAGTTGGGGAGGGTCTACATGGAGGAGATAAAGTTGCGGGGACAATAGTATCTCTGCCCTCAAAATATCTGAGAGGAGTCTTTTTAGAAAAAATGCAATGTTAAAAGGACAGGGCCACTGCACCCAGATCACATTATTGAGATAACGCGGTCTGAGTGACTGTAGTGTCCCTTTAATAATATAAATCATATAGTTTACAGATGTAAAATAAAACTTTTTATATTTCTTGACATAAGTCTGAAAAATTATCTTTAACACCTAAAATTTGCAAGTCTGTCAATTATATATATATAATTCTGTCAAAAGTTGTACCATTCCGCCTTTCACTTTATACCTTGAGTTTAGGCACATATTGTACTTAGTGATGTCCCGAACGGTTCGCCACGGACGGCGAACATAAACTTTGACCCTGTACCTCACAGTCAGCAGACACATTCCAGCCAATCAGCAGCAGACCCTCCCTCCCAGACCCTCCCACCTCCTGGACAGCATCCATTTTACATTCATTGTGGAGCTGCATTCTTAGTGAGCTGTCCAGGAGGTGGGAGGGTCTGGGAGGGAGGGTCTACTGCTGATTGGCTGGAATGTGTCTGCTGACTGTGAGGTACAGGGTCAAAGTTTATGTTTATGTTCGCCGTCCGTGGCGAACCATTCGGCGAACCGTTCGGCGAACCGTTCGGGACATCACTAATTGTACTTTATAGCTTTTAAAGAAAATTTAATTTGTGGGTTCATTCACTGAAAATGAGTTATAAGGTGTTGATACAACATAGGTAATAAGTTACAAAAAACACAAATATAGTGTGAGCGCTCCTATAGGGGAATGTTGATACAACATAGACTAAAGTGGCTGAACGTGAACATATAAGGCTGCCATAATGGCCTTTTTTTACCAGCTTACCAAAACTCTCTGTTTAAAACCCACCTCTATCCCCATGTAGTGTTACCCCCTGGATGTCACGGAGGCCGTAAATTTATTCTTCAAAACAAGTGAATAGGTCTTTGTAAAAAAACCAAAAAAAACAGCAAGGCTGTGGATATGCCCTGAACTGTGTGAGGACTGATTAATCACCCCCATGACACTGTTAGAAAAGTTCTAAAGGAATTTGCATATCAATGTTCCCAGACCCCTATCCACTGGTAAAATAAAAAGAGTCCACTGATATCATTCTTGTTTATTGGTGCTTTGGGTGGTAGAATTATTCCCATCGGTAATAAGAGGTTCGCAACAAACTGAAAATACTCTGTATAGTTATATCTTAGTAATAACAGGTCTGAAAAATGGACAACTGACTAATTGTATGTCTGTAGTCCCTGTTAATATATAATTTGCCATAAATACATTACCATTATTTCAGGTAAAGCCATCTTTTCGTGGGACCTTTCTATATAAAACTAGGCAAAGGCCTAGGGTCTTGTGGCTTGAAGAGACGTCAGCCACTTAAATGTAGTTTTCTTCTTGTGCTTCTTATAATATGCTTTATAATTAAATGTTGCAATGAAATAGGAATATAAACGTCGTAGGGGATTATTCACTGAGCGGGAAATTATGGAGATTAATAAAGGAACTGCAAATTTTAGGCTATAATAGTCAAATTAACAAAATTACATTTCTGAAGTCAGAGAAAATGTGTCTAAAATTTGCAACTACTTTGCCAGTGTTCTCTTTTCCCAATTTGATGAATGATACATTTATATTGTATATTGTATGTTATTGTATTATGAACAGAAGGATTGTGAATTAATAACATTCCTAATTGGTAAAAATATGTGAATTTTACACCAAATGCAAGTTATTGTGTCAGCATCGTAAGGGAGGTGTCTTCTGCTACCCTTAACCTCTGGTCCTAAGCAGAGCCAATCAGGCAGGTGAGGGGTGAGAGGTAGGAGGGAATGGGATTGGTGTAAAAAAACACAAATCTGGCAAGATGACAATAATATTAATGGTGGAGAGGAGGTAAGTATTGAATTAACTCTCCCACAGGGTTATTCACTGAAGTGAAAACTTAAAGTGAATTTCAAATTTCATGTCAAAATAGCTTAATTAGAAAGATTCTCTAATTGAGTTTGACTACTCTGGCCTTAAAATTCACTTTAAATATTAGCAAAGAAACATTCTAAAGCTATAAGGAAGAGGTTACCAATTAAAATTAACTTGTCGCGGCCGGTTTATTTTAAAGCAACATAATTGTTAACGTGTGTCAAATAAAAATAAAAACAAAAAAAAAATAACAGGATTGAAAATTAGGTAACAGTTTCCAAAATCTCTAAAAACACCTGCTTTCTACGCTACGAGTGATCTCAGCACCTTCGTTATCATGACCTCAGCAAACTTCTGTTTTCAATCATTTCAGCAGATGCTGCAGCATCCAAAACATTGTACACTCTCCATCAGTAACAATCGTGAAAATAAAATGTTCTTTACAAGTTGGTGAGGAATGTCAGGTATTCCAGCAAAAGAAGGTCTTGTGTGTTCTTCCGAAAGCCTCCCAGGAGCCCACACTCTGGCCCCGTCTGCCAAATATGTTGAGGTAACCACTGGGCGCTGGACCTTGTGGTCTGGAGAACATTTCTGCTCTGACGTTGCGGGAGGTGGAAAGTTATCTTCGGTGTACGCAGTCAATCTGTGGAACTCTACATCTTTAAATATACTTAATGCCTGTCTCTTTTGGTCTGAGGACAGGGCAGAAATAGCCATGACTGTATGAAGTACACTCTGTATTTCATCCAAAGATATCTTGTTCCAGGATAGAGAAGGGGGGGAGGGGGGCTTCGGGAAGAATTAAGAGGTGGGGGGGAGGACTTTTGCTCCTTGTAAGAGCCAGGTGTAGTGCCTTATTTTGCTCTTATTATTGTCTCTATATAGATTATCTTGTCATTACCAATACCAATGTTTGCCTACTGTTTGTAAACTATAAATATACTGGTTCCTGTACATATGAAGTTAGACCTTCATATTCATAATTGTCCATTTTGCCTGTATTTTTTCCGTTTTTTTGTTGGAACATTGAAGGTACAAAAAGTAGCCATTTAAAATCAAATGCTAATGTTATGATCCTGAAAGTGAACAAATTGTCTGAGATCTGGTGGAATAGTCCTGTTTGGCCCTGTATCAGCATTGCTTAAGTTGTTTATATGGCATTCCACTTCTGGGGAAAATAAACGAAGAGATAAAAATTAAGAAAAGGGCATTTAAATATCAGAGGGCACCTATACAAAAAATGCTTGCAAAAAGACCATTAGAGTGGCTAAACTTAGTAAGTGATAGCCAAAGAGTGCAAAACCAACCCCAAAAATGATTTATGTACCCAGTGGCGTAGCAAGGGGAGGCGGTCCGCCCTGGGCGGCACTTTTTTGGCGGCGGCAAGGTCCCTGCTCCCACTTTCTGAGGGAGACCAAGTCAATAAGTTGCATTTCACTCCTAAGTGTTTGTTTTCACACCAATAAAAAGTTTAATATACTGGAGCACTTCAGTAATAATAATTATTTAAAGGAACACTCTGCCCAAATGGGCAAACCCACCCCCCATTAAATCACTGTTGAGTAGATATACCCCCAATGAATTACATGCATGAATTTTTCATACATGTATTCATTGGGTGTATATCTTAAAAAAGCTTGTGTTGGGCTAGAGGCGTTGAGTACTTAAAAGAGGTATGTCTGGTGCAGCCACGGACGTCCGCGACTGCACAGGACCTGAAATGGGTCAAGATAGGGGCGGCAAACTCAGAGGCAGCCCTGGGCGTCAAAAGCTCGTGCTACTCCACTGTACATACCTAAATTCTAACAAAACAAAATAAAAAAAGGGAAGTGTAGGTACACTAAAAACAGAGATGGGTGTGTTAGTTAATGAAGACCAGAAAAGTGCAGAAATGTTTTAATAACTAGTTTTTCTCAGTATATATTAAGGTGGATCCTATGGCAACATATATGAAAATGATTGCTGCAAAAAACTCATGATTAGATGACTCAAGACAAGGTATTGTAACCGCTAAATAAAGTTAATGTAATTAAAGCTCCCGCGCCTGACGGTATTCACCCATGTGTACTTAGGGAGCTTTGTGGAAATAAGTGAACCACTACTTTTAATCTTTCAAGATTGTACCAGAGAATTGGAGGATGGCAGACATAGTTACTATATTACAAAACGGTTCAAAATCCTTGGCACTGGGAGCCCTATAGATGTGTAAGTGGTTGTGGTGGCTGTCCGGGCACTGGAAGCCCTACTGGCACAAGAGGCTCCCAGTGCCAGGATAGCCTTCACAACCACTTACACATCTATAGGGCTCCCAGTGCCAAGACTGCCACCACAACTACTTACACATCTATAGGGTTCCCAGTGCCAGGACTGCCACCACAACCACTTACATATCTGTAGAGCTTCCAGTGCCAGGATTGCCACCACAACCACTTACACATCTATAGGGCTTCTAGTGCCAGGACTGCCACCACAACCACTTGCACATCTGTAGGGCTCCCAGTGCAAGGATTGCCATCACAACCACTTACTAGACATGTGCAATTCATTTCATGCAATTCGGATGCTTCTGAATGTCCAAAGTGCCAAAGTTCCGAATTACCGATGTTCCGAATTGCTGAAGTTCCGAATTGCTGAAGCAGAAACATTTTCGGTAGTTCGGAAGTGCCTCACCAAACCGAATTGCCGAAGCAGAAAAACATTTTTCCTTCCCCTAATTTCTGAACAAAATTTTTTTCCCAGGCACATCCCTAATATTCAGGAATTCATTGGGAAGAACATTTTTTTTATCAATAATCAGCATGGTTTTATGATACAAATGTCATGTCAACCTAACCTAATTGTATTTTTTTTTCTTTTTGACAAAGATAGCGATATAACAGTTGCAGAAAGGCTTGTGCAAAAGCCGAATAATTTGCAACATATACAGTATAAACAACGTTACACAGATGAAACCATTAGACGTTACATGGTTGTGTGTACAAGAGGGTGATGAGGCCTGCACATGGTCTGTCTGACTTATACAGTGTCTTGTAGAAGGTGGGTTTGACCTTGGCCGCCGCTCCAACCGAGGGGCCCCTGGTGAAATCCCTAAGTTGTAGGTACCGAAAGTGGTCTTTAGTGGTCAGTGGGGTTAGGGTCTTTAGTTCATCAAAGGTTCGGAATGTACCTGCGTGGAATAGGTGGCAATAGTGTTGGATCCCCGTGTCTTCCAGACCCCTAAAGTCTCCGGGAAAGCTTTGTTGCGTAGGTATGGGGTTAGTGGCAAAGTCGGGTGAGTGAGTGCATATTTATGCGCTGTAATGTCCCAGATCCTGATTGAGTTCAGGATTGCAGGGCATGTGGTATGGAGCTCTGGTCTGTCAGCCTTGGGTACCCAGATCCAGAACTGTGGGAGGTCAGTGCTCATGAGAAGCATTTCTAGATCAACCCATCTGTGGGTATCTGGTGGTGAGTGGCATTCAACTATTTGTGCCAACTGAGCCGATAGGTAATAGAAGTGGAGGTGGGGAAGGCCCAGTCCTCCACTGCTTTTTGGTGTGTATAGGGTTTGTCTTGCTATCCTGTGCCTCTTTTTTGGCCCATATAAAGTTGTCTATTGCTGTCTGCAATGGTTTTGGGTCGCCTTTGATTACCCTAACCGGAAGTGCCTGGAAAAGGAATAAGAGGCGCGGTAGCAGGTTCATTTTGATAGTGTGCAGCCTTCCTATCCTCAAGATGGGTTTCTCATGCCACCTGTCGAGATCCAGTGGTGTGGATCAGACATTGGTGGTTCTCTGTGTATAGGTCGGCATGGTTTGGTGTCAGCTTGATACCAAGGTATTTAATGGCTTATGGACTGATTTTTAGATTGCTTTAGCAATTGGACGTCTGTGTCTGGCATGCCAAGAGGCATGCCAACTGGCTTGTCTAGGTTTATTTTATATCCCGATACTCTGTGATAGGTTTCCAGTAGGTCAAGGAGGTGGGGGATTGAGTCTCTCGGGTCCATGAGAGTGAGCAGTATGTCGTCTGCGTAAGCTAACCTAATTGTATTTTATGAAGAAGTAAGTAGAAGCATAGATCAGGGTGTTACCATGGATGTGATCTGCTTGGATTTTGCCAAGGCGTTTGATACGGTTCCTCAAAATAGGTTAGTGTTCAAACTAAAAGAAATTGGTCTAGATGAAAAATCTTGCTCTTGGGTAGAACATTGGCTTAATAATAGAGTACAGAGAGTTGTCAGTAATGGAAGATTTTCTTCTTCTTTTTTTTCCAAGTAGGACAAAAGTGGTAAGTGATGTCCCTCAGAATTTTGTTCTGGAACCCCTTCTATTTAACATATTTATAAATTATCTTGAAATAAGCATTGAAAGTCATGATTCAGTGTTGCAGATAACACACAACTATGTAAAGTAATACAGTGTGAGTAGAATTTTGCTTTGCTGCAGAGAGATTTAGACAGACTAGAGGAATGAGAACTCAAATGGCAGATTAAATTTAACGTAGAAAATACAAAGTCATGCACTTCGGGGTAAAGAATGCACAAGCAACTGACACTCTAAATGGTAGTGAATTAGGGATAACAACACGCGAGAAGGATTTGGTAATTGTTTTAGACAACAAACTAGGCAACAATGTGCAATGCTAGTCAACAGAAGCTAAGACCAGTAAGGTATTGTGATGTATAAAAAGGACATTAATTTTCGGGATAAGAATATCATTTTGCCTCTTTATAAATCACTGGTAAGCCCACACACTGAATATGCTGTGCAATTTGGGCACCTTTTCTAAAGCAGGATATTATGGCACTATAAAAAGTGCAGAGGCAGGCTGCAAAATTAATAAAAATGATGGAACATTTTAGTTATGAAGAAAGCTTAACAAATTTAAATCTTTTTACTTTGGTAAAATTGCACTTCAGAGAGGATTTGATTATTATTATCATTATTGGTATTTATATACTGCCAACTTATTCCGCAGCGCTTTACAATATTATGAAATGGGGAACATTTAACAATAAATGAGACAATTACAAAATGATACAGGAATAACAGATGGATGACGACCCTGCTCAAAAGAGCTTTCAGTCTAGAGGCGGTGGGGTGTAAAAACACAATAGGGCAGCAAGGGGGACAGCAAACATACAAGGTGGAAAAATAGCAGAACTGGAAGTTAGAGTGGAGTGTGGCTCTTTAGGAGAGATCAAGAGACAGATATAAAATACATTACTCTGAGAGGCAATAAGCATGTCCTAAACAGATAGGTTTTGATAGCACTATACAAATAAATGCAGGGCCAAAACAAACCATTTTCAGGAAATCTTTTGATAAACAGGACTATACATAGACCACAAGGTAACTCATGTAGACTGGAAGAAATGAGATTTAGGCTAATGCAAAGGAAAGGGTTTTTTTACAGTAAGAACAAGGATGTGGAATTTTCTGCCTGAAGTAGTAGTTTTATCATAGTCAAAGTCTACACAGATGTTTAAACAGCAATTGGATAAATAATTGCAAAAACAATATTCATGGATATAATTTTTAATTAGTGGGGATATTCTTGATCCATGGTGAGATGATAATTTTTTTTTGAAAAATTGGAACCGCTTCAAACTGGTTTCTTTTTTTGCTTTCTTCAACAGCAAAAACAGATGTGAGGATAGCTGAACTTCATGGATGCATGTCTCTTTTCAGCCTATGTAATTATGTAACAGTAAAGAGGCCATTAGTCATAGGCCA